TGTGTGTGTGTGTGTGTGTGTGTGTGTGTGTGTGTGTGTGTGTGTGTACATGACCCTTTGGAATCCGAGGTCAACCTAGGCTCTAGTTCCTCAGGTGCTATCTGTGTTTTGTTGTTGTTATATTTTGCCTTGTGTTTTGAGAAAGAATAACCCAGCGGCCCTGACTGTATGCTGAACCATGCCCCAGGCACAGGCTCCTTAAAATTATGTGTTCCATAAATGACTAGCTATTTTTCATTAGAGAGAGAAGAGAGGAAAGGATAGAGAGGACAGGTTAGGGAGAATGGATAATAGGAAAACATGTTTTCTGCTCAAGAAGGTACAAAAACGCAATGAATACCTTAACTGCCATAATTCATAATGTCTTATGTTTTCCTTAACAGCCACTCTTTAGTGTGTATTAATACAATCCTTTACTGAGAACTATGATTGATTACTCTATTCTTTTCTTATTTCAGATTTTTCATTACTCATTTAACGCTTCATATTTGATTTACAACATACACACTAGGTAAGTTCTTTGGTTTTCTGAGCCACTGTCAAGCTAAGTTGTCATTGATGTCAGTTTGCTCATGTGAAAATATTTATATCTTTTCAAGGGAAGTATGGGAGTTGAATCCCCCAGAAGTAGAGGACTCAGTGTTGCAGTATGCGGCCTGGGGTGTGCAAGGACAGCAACTGGTAAGCTTGCTCCGCCCCAGACCCTGTCCAGTGAGGCTAAAAGCAACATATTTACAGAACTCACTTTCTTGTGCAATATACCCTGCAAACATTGGTGCTTTCCTAAGTTCCTCTACATTATTCATCTTACGTGATTCCCTAAGAATATATCAAATAAGGGTTGGGAGGTAGTTCAGTGGGTAAGGCACTTGCCAAGTAGCATGAGGACCTCAGTCTGACCTTTGGAACTTGAGGTCATGCTCCCATAAAAAGCTGGGTGTGATGGTGTGTGCTTGTAAGCCCACCCTGGAGACAGAGAGACAGGTGGACACCTGGAACATGCTGGCCAGCCAGCATGGAGCACTCAGCTCCATCTCTCCTAGTACTGCTTGTATTTGACCAATTTAAAAAGTGTACTACATGGTCCAACTATAATTAATAGTAAAAAAAAGGAAAAAATACGGGATACTAAGCCTTTCACAAAATTCACACTGCCTACTACTGTCAATTATTTTGCAAAATTATAGCAAAATTCTGGAAGCAGAAGTATTTGACAGTTATCTGTGCATTTGTATACTTACTTCACCCTTTTTATTTGTTTGTTTGTTTGGTCTTTAAGACAAGGTTTTATGTAGCCCAGTCTGGTCTCCAACTACCTATGTACATAAGGATGGCCTTGAATCTCTGGTCCTTCTGCCACCACCTCCTACATGGTGGGATTACAAGCATATCCTACCATACTGGTGCCCTAATATTTGTGTAGAAGTCAGAACATAACTTGTTCTCAGCTCTCTCCTTCTATCATCTGAGACCTAGGCATCTTCCTCAGGTCATCAAGCTTGGAGGCAAGCTCCTTCAGCACTAAACCTCTCCAGACCCAACGATGTTAGTGCCTTAATTTTCTTTTCTAATACAAACATAGAAGGCTGTAGCATTCTCTAAATTCTACCTATTCCTTACCTAAAAGACTTGATAATGATGTTTTGGAAAGATTGAATTGCTTTTCCATTGAGATGTCTCTTTTCAGATGATTTAAGACGGTACTTATTTTTTACTCATGGTGGTATGGAATTGGTGTCAGCATTCAGTTGTATTAGTTAGACAGAGGCAGGTCTATATTTGGAATGTGACCTGACCTACACGGTTTATTGCTAAACTCACAGTTTGATGAAGGTGTTATATGGAGAATTGTGTAGCTTTCCCCAGTGGTGGATGTTTCCCTCTGCTGACACTGTTCATACAGTGTCGACATTTATGCCCTATTCATGTTCCCTTGCTAATGATTTTGAGAGACTCACATCTTTCTTTGGGGTGCTGTCATTTTACATGTGGTATTGAACTACATTTTCAAGAGTAAGGGGATTGCATAATGACAACGACATCTGAAATGTGAAATAGAATTCATGATAATTTAATCAACATGTATTTGTCTTATTAACAGAGCTAAGCATAATATTTAAAATGTGTTTTAACTGAGTGTAGGAACATCTAGATGTTTTAAATATTAAAATTCACAGTTCAACATTAGCCAGAAGGGCTGAAGTATATTTCTCTTTTTTGTGCTCTTCAATTTCTCCATTAATAAAATGAAAACATCTACACCGTCAACATCATATCATGATAAAATTTTGAATAATAATATTACCCACCCAATACTACTCTTAGGCCACCCAACATTGTTGTTTTTATGAATAATTCATTATAAATTCAATCAATTTATAAATGCAAACAATTATTTTTAAATATAATTTATTTATTACATTTTATTTACTTTGTATCCCAGCTGTAGCCACCACCCTCATCCCCTCCCAATCCTCCCTTCCCTCTCTCCTTCCCTCCCTCAACTCCTCCCATGCCCCTTCCCCAGCCCACTGATAGGGGAGAACCTCCTCCCCTTCCATCTAGCAAAAAAAAATATTTTTAATACCGCTAACTTAAAAATGAAGCAGCAATAGCAATTTGAAAAATCAGATACAGAAAAGCAAATATTGCTCTATGTTCATTGAAAAAATACACAAAACTTTATTTTTTTATTTATTCAATTTATATTCAGATAATAGCCTTCCCAGTACCACCCTCCCTCCCTCTTCTCCCTTATCCTCCTCTCCTAGTCTACATAAAGGGGGATCCCTCCTTCCCTACCAGCTGTCCCTAGTTTATCAAGTCTCTTCAGGAATGTCTGTATCCTCATCCTTTGTAGTATGACAAGACAGCTCCTCCAGGGAAAAATGATCAAAGAGATGGCAACAGAGTCCATTTCAGAGACAGCACCTGCTCTCCTTATTAGGGAACCCACATGAAGACTGAGCTGCCTATGGGCTACATCTGAGCAAGGGGTCTAGGTCCTCTCAGTGCATGGTCCTTGGTTGGTGCATCAGTTTCTGATGCAGGCCTGTCTCGGCCCAGATTTGCTCATTTCTATGGAGAGCTCCTGTGCCTTCCAGGCCCTTCTTTCCTACCAGGTTTTGTTTTGTTTTTCTGTTTGTTTGGATTTTTTAAATTAATTAATGAACATATCAGTCATAGGCCCCTCCCTCCTCTCCTCTCAGTCCCACCCTCCCTTTTCATCTATTCTTTAGAATAGGGTACCCCCCCCCAGACACCCTAGCTCATCTATTCATGTGAGGACTGAGTTCATCTTCCTCCCCTGTGGCCTTGTAGGGAAGTCCCATCAGGGAGAAGTGATCAAAAAGCAGGCAACATAGTCTATATCAGAGCTATCTCCCACCCACTCCTGTAACTAGTGACTCAGCATGAAGCTTAAGATGTCCATAGACTTATCTTCTTGGGGTAGTCTGTCTATCCTGCACTATATATCTAAAATCTGCTTATAAGTGCATATACCATGTGTACCTTTCTGGGTCACTCAGTGGTTTGTTTTCTTTGTTGTTGTTGTTTTTTCTAGATCCATTCATTTACCTGCAAATTTCATGATTTTCTTTTGTTGTTGTTTCTAATTTATTTAATTTATTTACTTTACATCCTTGTAGCCCCTTCCCTCCTTCTGTCTTAGTCCTACACTCTCTGCCTTCCCTCTCAACCCTTCCCTTTTCCTCAGAAAAGCTGAGCTCCTTTTTACATCCATCTCAGCTCATCAAGTTGCATCAGGACTGAAGGTATCCTCTTTACCTGTGGCTTGTCAAGGAAGGCCTGCCAGGGGAAAGTGATCTAAAAGCTAGTAAGTGAGTCCCTGTCCAATGCAGTACCCACTTCACTTCCTTGAGTACCCACTTGAAAACTAAGTTGCTCATCTTTGTAAGGGGCCTAGATCCAATTCATACATGGTCCTTGGTTGATGCTTGAGTCTCAGCAAACCCCACTGGGCCCTGGTTATTTGACTCTGTTGTTTTTCTTCTGGATCTCCTGTCACTTCTGAGTCCTTTTCTTTTTCCTCCCATTATTCCTCAAGACTACCTATGCATCCCCCAATGTTTGGCTGTGAGTCTCAGCTTCAGTTTTGAGGCTCTTCTGGGTAGAGCCACTCAGACGACAACACTGACAGCCTACTGTCTGCAACTTTAGCAGAGCATAGTTCGTAGTGTCAGTGTTTGGCACTCTCCAATAGGGTGGTTCTTTGGTTGGGCCAGGCATAGTTTGGACATTCCCTCAATTTTTGTTCTATCCTGTTTATATTTATCCCTGTGCATCTTGTAGGAGGACCCAAGTGAAGATGTATCAATCTCAATTGGAAGGGGAGGTAGAATACACAGAGTTTGAGGAGAGGGAACAAGATAGGAGACAGGGCACAAAGACTTAAGAGGGTGGCAATCAGACATGAGGAGAGCAGGGACAAGAGGACAGATGCCTATACAGAAAAGAGATACTGTGGGTGGGGATATCTCTGTGACAAACTGGAGACCTAAGTCAGGGTAGGCACCTAGGAAGATATAAGAGTGATTCAAGCAGAGATTCCTAGTAGCAGAGACCATAGAGACTGAAGAGGACATCCTGTAACTTGACTAGTCTTCTAGTAAAGGGTAGGAAACACCAACCCACCCATAAAAACCATGACACAAAATATACACTGCCTAAGAGATATCCTTGTGTTTGTAATGGCTGAGTAGCATTTCCTTGTGTAAATGTGCCACAGTTTCTTTATCCATTCTTTGGTTGAGGGACTTCTAGCTTGAATAAAGCTGGTATAAATATGATTGAACAAATGTTCTTGTTGTATTGTGCGGCATCTTTCTGGTGTATGCCCAGGAGTGGTATAACTGAGTCTTGAGATATGGCTATTCCCAGTTTTCTAATAAAGCACCAGAATGTTTACTAACATGGTTATACAAGTTTGCACTCTCACCAGCAATGGAGGAGTTTTCCACTTTCTCCACATACTTGCCAGCATGTGTTGTCACTGAGTTTCTTATCTTAGCCCTTCTGATGAGTGTAAGATGGAATCTGAGTCATTTTGATTTGCATTTCCCTGATCACTAAGTACATTGAGCATTTCTTTAAGTGCTTCTCTACCATTCAATATTCCTCTGTTGAGAATTCGCTGTTTATCTCTGTATACCATTGTTTAATTGTATTATTTGGTTTGTTGGTGTTGAATTTCTTGTGTTCTTTATATATTTTGGATATTAGACCTTTGTCAGATGGTGAAGATATTTTCCCAAACTGGAGACTGCTATTTCATCCAATTGAGAGTGTTCTTTGCTTTACAGAAGCTTTCAGTTTCAAGAGGTTCCATTTATTAATTGTATATCTTAGAGCCTTAACTGTTGGTGTTCTGTTCAGGAAGTTGTCTCCTGTGCCAATGAGTTCAAGGCTCTTCCCACTTTCTCCCCCAGCAGATTTAGTGTGTCTGTTTTTTTTTTAACTTTTATTAATTACATTTTATTCATTTTGTATCCCCCCATAAGCCCCTCCCTCCTCCCCTCCCGGTCCCACCCTCCCCCCCTTTCTGCATGCATGCCCCTCCCCAAGTCCACTGATAGGGGAGGTCCTCCTCTCCTTCTTTTGATACTCTTGGACTTGAGTTTTGTGCAGGGTAATAAATATGGATCTATTTGCATTTTTAA